CATAATGTTCTCCAGAGTCAACCATTTTTAATAATATTGAATGAGTTCCTTGTTTTTCAATTCAGCATAGTATTCCATTGTGTGAATATACTGTAGCTTCTCTATCCATTCGTTTGTTGATGGGCACCTAGGTTGTTTCCAACTCCTTGCTATAATTAACAAAGCTGCAATAAACATGGGTGTGCATGAGATTTTTTTTTAACATTATGTCATTAGTATCTTGTTAAAAAAGGCACATGACCAAATTAATAGAGAGTTTGAAGTAAATGAAAATTAAATTAGTATTAAAAAGTATAAGTAAGCTTTTTTTTTGTCCAAGAGGGTCCAAGATTGAATTTTACTGTATTATTTGTATGTATATTATGCTTATCTACTTAACTGCTCATATATGAGTCTCCGTTTCCTCATCATTAAAATAAGTTTTTAAATAACCCCTCACATATGGGAACTCTGGTGGCCTAGTGGCAAGAAGCTGCACTGAAATCCCAAAGGCTTATGGTTCAAATCCACCAGATGCTAGAGAAGGAGGGGCATTCTCCTCCTATGCCAGTTGAATCCAGTTCAACAATATACAACAAGGGGGGGAGGAACAAACCACATACCATGAGAAGTAATTATTAATATTGTTGTTGTGTTGTTATTGTTAGGTGCCATCGAGTCAAGCACAACTCATAGCAACCCAATGAAAAAAAGAGCTGAACCCTGTTCTATCCTTTGTCATCCTCACACTTCCTGACACAAAAGAGCCTATTGAAGCAGTCACCGTATCAGTCCACCTGGCTGAGTGTCTTCCTCTCCTTCGCTGACCCTCCACTCTTCCCAGCATCATGTCCTTCTCCAAGAAATAGCTCCTCTTAGCAATATGTCCAAAGTATGTGAGGCAAAGACTCATCATTTTTGCCTCCAAAGAGCACTCCACCTGCACCAAGCCATCTCCAAGACAATCTCTTTGTTCTTGGTCGTCCATGGACATTCAGTCCTCCTCTGCAACATAACAGGTCCATATTTTTTCCCATTCCCAAGAAAGGTGATCCAACTGAATGTGGAAATATCGAACATTATCATTGATATCACATGCAAGTAAAATACTGCTGAAGATCATTAAAAAATGGCTGGAACAGTACATAGATAGGGAACTGCCAGAAGTTCAAGCAGGATTTAGAAGAGTCCGTGGCACCAGGGATATCATTGTCAATGTCAGATGGACCTGGCTAAAAGTAAGAAATAGCAAAAGAATGTCTATTTCTCCTTTATTGACTATGTGTTTGACTGTGTAGATCATGACAAACTGTGGCTGGCATTGAGAAGAATGGGCATCCCAGAGCACTTGATTGTGTCCGTGAGGAACCTATACCTGGGTCAGGAGGCTGTCGTGCGAATGGAGTTGGCGAGCACTGCATGGTTTAGAATTGGGAAGGGAGTGAGTCCTGTATTCTCTCTCTACTTGTTCAGTCTGTATGCTGAGAAAATTGTCTGAGAAGCTGGACTCTGTGAGGAGGAGTGCAGCATCAGGATTGGAGGGAGACTCATTAATAACCTGTGTTATGCAGATAAAACAACCTTGCTTGCTGGAAGTGAGAAGGACTTGAAGCACTTGTTGCAGAAGATCGAGAAATGCAGCCTTTAGCATGGATTGCATCTCACTGTCAAGAAACAAAGATTCTTACCACTGGACTATCACTGACAGCGTCATGATGGATGGAGAGGAACTGAAACTGTCAACAGTTTCATTTTGCTTGGATCCACAATTAACACCTTTCGTATGAGCAGTCAAGAAATAAGGTGATGGATTGCCCTGGGAAAATCTGTACAGATTTTACTATTGTTAATATAGTACAGTATATTATAATACTATATTAATATAAAATAGTATATTTTACCCTAGGAGGAAAGATCATCTACTTCCAAATAACAGGGCTTTGAAAACCTTACCTACAGTAGAACACCCTTAGATTAGACTATCAGATATGGCACCTGAGGCTGAGCCCTCAAATTTGGTGATATAAAAGAGGAGGAACAAATGTAAATAGACACTTATGATTGGAACGTGGAATGTGAGAAGCATGAATGTAGGAAAATTGGACATTGTTAAAAAAGAAATGGAACGCATAAAATAGACATTCTAAGTATTCGCAAAATGAGATGGATTGGCATGGGACCTTTTGAATCAGTAGGCATATGGTCTCCTACACCAGAGATGAAAAGGTGAGAAAAAAACAGGGTTGCTTTCATAGTTAAAAAGGTCATTTCTAGATCCATCTTTAAACACAATGTTGTGAGTGAGGGTAATATCCATATGCATATAAGAAGGTCTAGTGAATACCATTATCATTCAAATTGTGTGTCAACAACCAGAGCCACAGAGGAGGAAATAGATGATTTCCACCAGCTTTTACAGTCAGCAATCAGCTGAACATTCAGCTAAGATGCATTAATAAAAATGGATGAATAGAATGCAAAAATTGGGAACAGGAAAGGATTAGTAATTGGAAAACATGGACTTGTAACAGAAATGAAGCTGGAGTTAGAATGATAGAATTCTGTACAGTCAATAATTTATTCATAACAAATACCTTTATAAAAAACATAAATGGTGACTATACACATGGATTTTACCTGATGGTATGCATAGGAATCAGATTGATCACAGCTGTGGAAAGAATTGTAGGAGGAGCTCAGTATAAGCCATACAGGTGCTGAATGTGGAACAGACCATCAGCTACTCATGCAAGTTCAAACTAAGCTA